TAACATGGTCTGTTTATTTCTTTTGGCAACAAACTTATGCTCTTTTGTTAAAATTATAATGGCAGCCTGATGGTAGTTAGTGATTAACCATCGGAGTAAACAAACAACAAAAATAAATCTCAAGTCAGGTTTTACACTGGAATCTGACTTGTCTCATATGACCACCAACTGGGATAACATCCATCATCTGTCCCCTAGTTCTACATTCTAGGACTCTGCCCATGTCATGTGGCTCCTTTCGATGGACTTATGAAAATCCAGAAAAATTACAATTACTGCACTGCCACAGCCTACCTTCTCTGTCACGGCCTGAAAAAAATTCAACGTACTTGATCAAGCAAATCTATTCTGAAGGAATCTGTGCTGCACTGTAAGTCTTAACTGTATCCTTTCTGATGTGCTATGCCCAAATATGTATGCAGCACTCCACATGTGACTTAACCAGAGTCTTGGGTAACTGTAACATAACTTCTACCTCCTTGGAGGACCAATACTTCACTCACCTTTAAAACTGTCTTCTGTCACTGTCCACTCACACTCAGTGATTTCTGTAGTTGGATTGCTATATTCCAAAATCACCTATAAAGGTAAGTCACCTCAGTTTTACAGATCATATGGCTGCGTCTCATTAAAGAGAGATGACTGGTGGCGAGTTCAACCTGAGGGCCACCATGCCTCAGGCGAGGCGAGGGGAGAGGCTTAGGAGAGTCCTTCATGATAACCTCAGCCGATATGGGAATTGAAGTCACGCTATTGGCATCATGTTCTTGCAAACCAGCTGTCCAGCCAACTGAGCTAACTGACCCCCTAGCAACATAGTACCATCTAACTTTACTCAGACATGTGAACCCACACCTGTTCACCTAAATCATTTACAAACATAGCAAAAATCTCTGGCTTCAGTAGAGATCTTTGAGAAGCACTTCCTGAACACATCCATCAGTCCTCCATTCTCGAGAAAATCAATCAAATATCTCACAACCTCATCTACGGTGTTTTCAAGCTCAATGGATTTTTTTCTGGTTACTTATTTTGCGACTTGAATACCCATATTCTCTTGGTGAAGTTGTTCCAAATTACTATTTTCTTACTGTTCTCCATTTTAACTTCTGATGCAGACCCCTAATCACCCTGAATAACTTACCTGAACCCATTTTGCCAATTATAGTACCAGTCAAATAGCTTGTATCAATGTTTCAAATTACAATGCCTCTTCAGTATGCTGTACTGTGAAAATGAAATTATATTCATATTTCCAAACCAATTTTAACTGTGCAGCATTCAATATAATTACTGTTGTTACAGGATTTAGCTAAAATATAGAGCAGTTCTGTCACAAAGTAATTGCTATTGATGGGCTAAAATAGAAACAGAAAAAAACCTCAAGAGAATTGAATACACAACCATGAGACATTTTGACCTTAATTACAGAAGTGACTGCACTTAAAATACACTTCATTGATTGTGAAGTGTTTTACAACATACTGAGGTCATGAAAGGCCTCTGTATCAATGCAATAACCTTCTGTATGATGGTGTTCAGAGAACCAGGCTGACCATTGTGTTACTAAGGGGAGTGCTGTGTTGATGTTATCTTTCAATAAGCAAACCCTAGTTCCTATCTCACTGGATAGTGTAGACTCTGGAAGATGCAATAGTTCTGTTTGAAGAAGAATGAATGAGGAGTTCATGTGACCTGATCAACATTTTTCTGTAAACTAACATCTCCAAAAAGACAGATTGAGCATTATTTAGTTGATCTCACTGTAGTCTGTAGGATGCTGTACAATCATACTGTAGACAAAAAATACTATTTTGTCCATTGTTTCTGTGCCAGTTCTTTGATAGAACCATCTACTTAGTCACACTCCCCTGCCCTTTTTCCATAGCCCTGCAACATTTGGGGTGTAGAATGCCTCTAGGGCATGCTTACTATAACAGTGCGCTTCACTGTGTATTATACAAACTACAATGTGGTAAGCTACATAGATAAACTCAAGGCTAAGAGATGCATCTAAATTTAAGAAACCAAATAAATTGCATTGAAACTTTTTATGATCTCACATTCCATCTTATACACAATGCAATAGAGAAGGGCACATGAATGAATAAACTTCAAAGCAGCATACAAAGCATTAGGGTCACAATATATTCCATAAGCTTCAAGGGACCACATATTAGTAATTCACTCAAGTAACCTTATCTCTGTTCAATAATGGCTGGAGATGCGGTGCTGGGCATGGCAGAACCTAGATTAATCTGAACAATGCTACTGCAATGTATTATTACAGATCTTCCTGCTCTATAATGTCTGAGAGGCTCCATCTCCATGCTGACAGCTCCACTACACCTTGGAGGAATGACAACTGATTAAACCTGCTCATCTCTTCCCCTCACACCTCAATTATGAATCAGCGAGTAGATAGAGATCATAGTGTTATAAAATTTTACAAGTTAATTCAGTATCATTTAGCAAATGGAGAAATAGGTTTTTTTAAAGCTCTTGCTCAAGAAAAAAATTACATGCTCATGTAGTGGAGCCAGAAGAGAGTTGACTTACCTTTCAGAGTATGTCAGACATTGACAATCAGTACATTTTGGTCTTAATCACAATAGTAAAATAAAAGAAATAACATCACCAGAATTTAACATTTTGAACTGAGAGATCAATTTCTGTCAGGTATGAAGAGAGTGGTGTTAGTAGACTTTGCAATGAGGAAACATTACACAAAGACTTTTCTCTTGCAAATTTTGGTGGTTAACTTTCAAAGATTTTCAGTTACAGAACCGCTATAGAGTATTAAAATAGGAGGAAATTTACAGACTTGGTGCAAGGCTCAAAATCAATAGCAAATTAGCTGGCTAGAAAGAAAATTGCCTTGACAATGGGAAGTGAATGAAGATAATCATGAGTGGATAATCATCAGTCACTTAATGATCTGGAGAAATCTGCAGGGATGTATTCTCAGTCATCTCTTCTGAACAGCATGAAGCAGAGGGACTGCAGCAGTTTAAAATTTGACATTGACACAAACTGCATCCTAACTTTCACCAAGTCCCATTTAGTCATTGAACTCCGTTTCCGGACCAAGAAACAAAACCACAATTTTAAAATTCTTACCCTCATTTCCAAATCTAGTCAATTATAGGCCCAGACTGTGTAAGGACGGTAGCTCTGACTTCATTTCAAGGGAATTAGTGAATCGGTTGTTTTACTTTTTTTAAAAAAAATGAACCAATAGGATTCGTGGTCTCTTCAATAAACCAGAAGCTTTTATAACTAAACTCAACTCATTTTCAAGGTTACTAGTTCAGTAAATAATCATAGTATTGCCACCAGAAAGTGACGGCCCATTCGGTCCATATGGCGTTTAAGCACAATTTTGCCCAACTTCAACAAGGAAGATACCCTGACTGAGAGGAAGTATCGATCAGAAAAGCCTGAACATGCTAAGGTTCTTCATTCCAGAAAATGAAAGGTTGAGGGGTGACCTGGGAGAGGTCTTTACAATTGTGGAAGAATTCAATTGTGTAGATATAGAGATGGCAACAGTGCTGCCGCTACTTGAGGTAGTGAGACTAAAACTTGAAATCACAAATATATATTGTTACTAATAAATCCAAGAGAGAATTCATGAGAAAGTTCCTTAGCTAGGGTATGGGTACAGCGCGGAACTCACTACAAGAAGTTGAAGCAAATGGTGTAGAGTAATTCTTTGGTATTCACAAAATCGCAAATTTGCCCATCTGCACCAAAAGCTGTGTCAACAAAATTCAATATCTGCAGGCAAAACTCACACATCTGCAAGTTTTACCCTATTTTTAAACATGGTCCACATTCTTGAAATTCATCATTTGCGGGTTTCTCAGGAAGGGAACCCTCACAGATTTGGAGTAATGACTGCAGTTGCAGATAAGTGGAGACGAGATAAACACAAAACAAAAAGTTATGCTGATTGGGTGAGGAGTAGGAGAACGGGAAGCAGTTTGTGTGGAACATAAAGACTAGCATGGATCTGTTGGGCAAATGGCCTGTTTCTGTGTACAGGCTCCATGCAATTTTTTGTGACTTGTAAGAGACGACACTTTTTTTTCTTTTTTGAAACTATAAACTGAAATGGAAAATGAACTGTTATAACTCAAATACAGGGAAGCTTTGCAACTTGAAAATTAAACATAGTACATTTTTTGAGCTGTGTGATACAATGCTTTTTTGAGGCAGGGAATGAAAGATTTGGCAACTGAGTGACACTGACAATATTTTGAATTAAGGCATTCTTCCTGCAACAGCCTCTGAGTTGCAGTGTTAAAAAGCTGCAAGAGCTAGGGCAGAAGACAGAAAATTCCAAAAGCTGCAAACAGAAAGCATCCATCACTCCCTCTCTTTCCCTGTGACAAAAACATAGAAAACCAAGAAAGTTTAAATGGAAGGATTCTAATAAGAAAAGAACTGGATCGACCTTCTAATTAAAGAACCTACAGCGTTGCTAGGATTCAGGTAAAAAAGTACTTTCCACCTCGTGGTCTGGACTTTCGATCTTACAAATTTAGCTTACCCTGTCGAGATGCTTTTTTCACCTACAGTATGTGTGTTAAACCATTTGTATTCTGTCCTCTTGATTGTAATCAAGTCTGTGGGTGCTTGGGGTTTTCTGTTCGGATATAGTTTAAGTTGTTAGTAGAAGATTAGAAATATTTTCTTTACTCATTGTTTGCTAAAATTAAGTGTGTTACAATAAAGAGATTCCTGATTAAACCTGGTGTGAATTGCTTATAACCTGAGTAGCAGTTAATCAGGCAAACTGGTCATTTCAGTGGCATAATTGGGATTTATACACTGTGTGACCTTTGTGGAGCATGATTATTGATCATTTCCCAATTAAGTCACGACAAACTCAAAAGAAATGTAATCATACTCGCAAACTGATAAAGTTAACTGTTACAAAAGGTTGATACAAACCATACAAACACAAACATGGCCAAACCTTCTGTAAAGGATACTTCCCAGGTTGATCTATTCCCACTCTGTAGTCGGGAAAACTCTTGTCAGGGTTGAAGTTGAATACAAAAAGAAGATTCGCACGCTCAAAGGCGATCACTTTGTTCTCCTCATGCTTCTCACTCACATAGGCCTGGCCGGGGTGGAGGGGGGAATTGCAAAAGAAACATAATAAGGTAAACGCATTTAGAAGATACTGAATTACAGTGGAAGTGCACATTACTGTCTTACCAGTAATTCTCAAGTTCCAGAAACACTTTGACAGATTAATCCAGACTGTTCCAAATTAGCACTGGCACAAATGGGACAAATGATTCCTTCTCTGCTGAAATTACTACAATTACTCCTCCATTAGTGCCATAAGAAAGGAGAGCTGTATTGGTGGGAACTCAGCTCTTTGAAATAAATTACAATCTCTGTAGTCTCATTTCTGCGTTATACTTGAGAGAAAACATTTTATGGCACAATGGACAGACCAGAGAACCTGAGATTGCTTTAATTAGTAGAAACAATGTTAAGAGAAGATTGTTAAGGGAAGATTTAATAGTTCAAAATTGTGAAGGACATTAATTAGGTAGGAAGAAACGGTTTCCACTTACAGAAGGCTCAGTGACACTGACAGAGAGGTGGTGATGCATTGGTAATGTACTGGACTAGGAACCCAGAGTCTTATACAATTATTCTGGGGAACATGGATTCAAATCCGACCATGGAAGATGGTGAAATTTACTTAACATATCAATAACTATTTTAATATTAGTCTAATGGCAACCATAAAAACACTGGTAGATGTTGCTAAAGCTTATTTAGTTCCCTAATGTCCTTTAGGGAAATTAATCATTACCTGTTCTGGCTTACATGTGACTCTAAATCCACAAGATGTAGTTGATTCTCACAGTTGCTAGACTAGATCTGAGGGATTCAACCACAAGCACTGACTACATGGCCAGGCATATTCCCCCACTCTTCCATCACTATCAAGCTGGAATGTCAACCCTAGATCATTGAAGAGTGCTGGAGGGCATATTAAGATCGGCACCAGTCATTACTTAAAAAAGATGTTATTCTGGTGAAGCTACATCATGGCACGTCTTGCGGGCAAACAAGATGCAATAAATAGGATAAAACCATTCCACAAACGACAGGTCAGATTTAAATTCTGCATTCCTGCCACATTCAGTCATGAATCATGGTGGACAATTAAAACACATCCTTATCTGCAATGCTGGGAAGGCTGAAGGATTTGCATCTATCTTCTATCAGATGTGTCGAGTGGATGAGCTAGTCAACTTCCTTCTGAGGCTGTCAGACGGATACAAGTCTTCAGCTAACTCAATTCACTCTATGTGATCTCAAGAAGTGACTGAAGGCACTGGATACCACAAAGGCAGTGGGCCCTGATAACATTACAGCAACAGTACTGAAGATTTGTGCAGAAATAAGTGTAACCCTACCCAAGCCATTCCAGTACAGCTACAACACTAGCATCTAGCGGACAACTTGAAAATTGTGTCCTGTACACAAAAACGTAGGACAAATCCAATGCAGCCAATTACCACCACATCAGCCAATCTTTGCTCATCAGCAACGTGATAGATGACTTTGTTGGCAGTGCTAACAAGCAGCATTTACAAAAAGAATAACCTACTCACAGATATTCAGCTTGAGTTCCATCAGGGCCACTCAGCTCCTCACCTCATTACAGCCTTGTTTCAAATATGGACAAAAGAGCTGAATTTCGGAGGTGAGTGAGGTCAGGCTGCATTCGACTGAGTACAGCATCAAGGAGCCCTAGAAAAGCTAGAATCAACTGGTACTGCAGGCAAACATTTCACTGGTTGGAATCATTCTGGCACAAAGCAAGATGGCTGTAGATGTTGGAGATCAGTCACTGAAGGAACTCCTCAGGGTATTATCCTAGGTTCAACCATCTTCAGCTGTTTTATCAATGACCTTCCCCCTCCCCCCATCATAAAGTCAGAAATGGGGATGTTTACAGATAATTGTACAATGTCCCCCATTTGCAACTTCTCAGACACGGATATTCAGACTTGGGCTGACAAGTGCCAAGTAACATTATACAAGTGTCAGTGAATAACTATCTCCAAAAAGAGAGAATCTAACCATTTCCCCTTGTTGTTCAATGGTGTTACCATCACTGAATCCCTTACTCTCAACATTCCGGGCATTACCGATGATCAGAAACTCAACTGGACCAGCCACGTGAACACAGTGGCTACAAGAGCAGGCTAAGATGGCAGCAGAGTAGGTGGGCTGAGATTGGGGTCTGTCCGCTACCGCCTGCTTTCTTTCTCTTTGTTTCCTTGGGCTTTTTTCCTTTTTCCTTTACTTTTGGGTCCGGAGAGTGGCAGATGAGGGAGGTGGTCTCTGGCATCAGCATCAATGCTGGACGCAGCTCCACACCAGCGCAGAGTCTCCTGGCGAGCAAACAGCAGGTCCCCAGCTGACTCTCCTGGCCTGCCCTGGAGAGTTGTCACTATTGGCACAGCGTGGTGGTCTCCCGGCGTGGTGGCCTTGTCCAGGTGTGGAGATCTCCACCACATGGAGGTCTTCTTCATCTTCAGTCTCCAGGTGTTCCAGCAGCCTGGCAAGTCGTCTGGTCCAGGAGTGGAGGTCTCAGCCTGGCATGGCAGTCTTCTTCAATGGAGGCTTCCAGCCCAGTGTTCCAGTGGTGCAGCATGGGGGTCTTGTCCTGGCTGTGTCTTCAGGGTATTCCATCATTCCTTCATCAGCTCTCCCAAACCCGGATGCTGCGATGAACTTTGCCTGTACTTTTTTTTCTTATTAAGTATGACTTCTGTCATTGATGTAGGTGATTTATGAAAGAACCATGTGACAATAAATTTCTATTCTATTCTTAACAGCAGCTCAGAGTTTAGGGATCCTGCAGGGAGTAACTCACCATCTATAATGCACTAGTCAGGAGCGTGAAGGAATATTCTCCGTTGACCTGAATGATTGCAGCTCCACGAACACTTGGGAAGCTCTGCAACATCTAGGACAAAGCAGCTGTTAGAGTGGCACTACATCCACCTCCTTCACATGCAGAGAGCAACATGGAGAACTGGTCACTGGGAGAAGAACTGCATTCATTCAAATAACAACTTTCAGAGCTTTGAAACTTCCCAAAGTGTTTTTTAGCCAACGAGGTGACATCATCGTTACAACATGACCGTCAATTTTCACAAAGCAAGCTGCCTCAATTGGAAAGTGACCAGACAGTCTGTTCAGTAATGAGTTGGAGGGATAAATATTGGCCTGAATCCTTGAAGAATATCGCTGCTTTTTGTCGACATAGAGCCATGGGATCTGTTACGTAGATGAAGTCTTGCATTAATACCTAACCCAAAAGATGATAACAATCCAATATTTGCTCAATACTGCATCAGAGATCAATCTGGATTATGACTCATGTTGCCAGAGTGGTAGTTAAATCAAAAACAATCTGATTCAGAAGTGAGGCTGCTAACCACTGAGGGAGAAACGTAGAACTGAGCATTCTCAATTCACAAATACCGATGTGGACATACATTGCAGTCAGGGTAAAAGCTATGGCAATAGGACTGGGTTTAGAAGATGGTAGGTATATTTAATCAATATGGGGATATTCTGCAAGCTTATGTTGAAGAAAATCTATATACATTATTTGCCAGCATGCTCCAAGTCATCTATTATTTTCTTCTAATTATTTTACATGATCAATCCAATCAAACCCAAGAGAATACACTGGCTGCGCACATGCAGGAAGGTGGTTGCTCACAATCCTACTAGTTGACACCATTCATCATTATTTGTGCAAGAACACTTACTAAATGTCTCATGTTAGGAAGGGGAGGTTGAACCCCTCTGATAATTCAAATTAAAACACAAGCTCCCAATCCGTTAGGGCTGGAGTAGAGGTTCCCTTCTAATAATTAAACACAAAACACCCAGTGAAGCTCACCTCACCGAAATCTGTTAAAAAGGGGAGGTTAAATGAAAGAAAATCCCTTATATTTACTTTATAAGCAACAATAACAATTTATTTATTTAACTCTAACAGTGAGCAAATTAACAGAGCTGCTAACAAATTGGACAAATCCCCCTTAACTACTAACTATTCCCAAACAGAACAAAATTCTAATGGTATGCTGTTCCAATAAACACATATCCCACTTACATAAATGCAAATAATAGAAAACTAAATTAAAACTTAGACTCTCAAAGTCCATACATGGTGTGTCTTCGGAATGTTCTGCCTTCTCTGCTGTCTCAGTAGTCATAAATGCCTTCCATCCGCTGATCCTTCTGTCAGGGACGTTTACTCTGTGAATTCTTTTGTGAGGACCTTTAGCTAGAAATGCCGTGGTACTTTTTATGGATAGATGGTGCTTTCTCAGAGAGCTTAGAGATTTCTGAGAGTGTCAGATATTTCATCTTCAGGTGACAGTTTGCTTTCACACAGATTTTCAAAGACCCCCTTCTTATATACTCCCAATGACCTGTCAATTTTCTTATAATAGAATTGGTCCAAAGTTGTCGAAACCTTCAGATTTAAATTCAATTGCTTTTCAATCTGTAAGTGCTTGGTTTAAATTAATTGGCTGATCTTCAAGCTCGTTGCCAAAACATCAAAACAAGCCTAAGGTTTCTAATTACACAGCCAATTGAAACATGTTTCAATTTCGGAACTGGCAGTACCTCTTCAGCTGCCTACAAACACATTTTTACTTAAATCAAGCTTAGAAAAAGCACATCACCTCTTAAAGGGACTATGCACTCATCCCCCTATCATTTTTACAAACAAATTCTAACTTGCTGCCTTCCAAATCACAAGTACTCTACACAACTTCGCTACACTCATCAGCCCAAATAAGAAACCTGTGCAAACCACAGAGAGAGTGCATCTTATTAGAAAATAATTCAGCAGTTATTAAATAGCCCAATCCTGTTAATACAAGAACAGATGCTGGACATTTGCTTATGTAAATTACTGAAGCATAATTAATTATAATGTTATAGTTTTAAAATCCTAAGCTTTAATTTTTAGCTACAAGCAAACAAGGTGTATTTACATGGATTTTGCTCAGAATTTGGAGTGAACAGATTATAAAGGCTGTGATTGAAGACTTC